AATTCACGAAGTGTTGAAAGGTTTTCTAATTTGAACTTACTGAATATCCAAAGACAGAAAGAAAGATATCTATTTTCTAATAACAATACTCAGAATAAAAATACTTTTATCAAGAAAGTTTGATGAACGGTTCCATTAATAAGATCTTAACTACATAGCTCTTCAAATCATCTGTGAGCGACGTAGGTTGAATACAGAATATGCCATTTCCCCTCAAAAAATCCACGCAAAGCCCCTGCCTTATACAGAAAAAATAATCCCTTATAGTTACCGAGGGCATTGAACTGTTTCCATGTGCTGCGACATTTCGGGTGATGCGTCGCTGTTGCATATCGGACTTATCATTGGTGCTTCTATATCCCCCTCCTAAACCTTCAACATCGCAATGCATCGCCTCTTTTGAGCACCTCTTCTTTCAGTGGGACTGGGAATCCCAGGGCTCACGTGGTAACGACTCTGGAATCCGAAGCGGCTTGGAGGGGGCGGGAGAGTCTTGAGCACACTACACACGCATGTTAGCCAACAGTCCTGATCCAGAACGTTAATTTACTATTTAATGAGATGTGGTTTATCAGTACTGACAAATAACCCTTACTGCAAGCGACTGGTAATAGTTCTTTATTTTTTAAACTTTTATTCATTTTTCATCTACTTGTAGTTAAAATGTTGGAAAAGGATTCTGGAATTCAAGAAAACGTGCACAAATGATCTCCTCCATACGTCACACAGTTTTTACTAAATAAATAAATATTTCTTAGTACTTGTAGTTCCTGTAGTTATTGTTTTTTCCTTTTGTTACTGTATACGGTACGTACTACCTTTATTTCGTATTCACATGGGTAAAAAAGAAATTTACAAGCTCTCTACAATATACTATGTATCTGATGAAGTTAACAGCTGATTTGGTCAAGCATAACCTCGTGACAAAATCTCGATCATTATAATTAAAACCAATCCATTCTTTCCCGCACCCTTTGTCTTCGCACTAGTGGGTAATATTCCGAATCACTGGAGGAATCGTCTTCAAATACTTTCATTCGTAATCGCCGGGCTTTATTAACACTTTGGAGGTAAATGCACGTTGAAAACTGAGCTTCCTCCGTACTTTACCCGACGGATTTTCGCAGTGTAAAGTTACTCTCGAATTTACTCTCGTGTAAGCGATTTACACTCGAGTAAAGTGTTGGTGAAACGCTCCAACAAGTTACTCTTGAGTAAACATGATTTACTCCAGAGTAAACTCTTACTCTTTGTTTGGTGAAACCGGCCCTAAATAATTCCTAGACAAAGTCTTCAAGGGCTTCAAAAACTAAAATTTTGAGGCCAAAGGCCTCAAAGAAATGTTCATCACACTAATCTACAAGATGAGATATTCTCGGGCATTCTCCTAAATATTTTACCGGTTCGGCACTTATCGGTACTACCAATACCACCTATATTTCATCTCTTTGTGACGTCAGGCTTAGATTCTCCATCTTTTATTTACGCTTCCTGTTTTCACTGTGGATTAAGAAGATTGACGAGGTTTATTTGCATAATTATTAATTCAGGATTCGTTCTCGCAGCAACAACTAGAAGTAGGTACTGGAATCAATCGCATCATGAATGCAACTGGATCTCTGGTGTCTCTCGAGATATTTTTTAAGCAAGCCAAACACACCAACGGCCTACAGCTAAAACCGAGTAAACAGCTTCATCCCCCCCCCCGGGGGGGCGGTGCCATGGTGGCCATACCTCCCCCCGGCCTAGTTTTCGTTTGTTACCTTATTTTACTTCGCAAAATTGATTTAAATATTTGTTGGAATTACGTAATTATATAAAAAATAAGATTGTACTATAGCATCATATATACACTACAAAAATAATATACAATATAATAAATATTTATTAAACAAAAGTCTGTGATGACCCCTTCCAAAATGATCGTCTGGATCTACCCCCGATACCCCCATGGACTAAAAGAATTAAGAAGCGCAGTGCCGACACTCAGTGTGAAATGTCACTCTTGGCCGAGGCATCTTCTAAAGTTACTCCACGTTGAACAAAAATAACAAATTCAAAATGGCACAAGTCTAATTATTGATGAGAAGCTAAAAGAGAAAATACGAGCATGGACTCAAAGCATTGGACGTAACACATGTAGAATAGATTTTCGTGTAAAGAATCGGTTGTTTGAAACAGACGCGAAGAGATTCTATCGCATCTAAGGGCAATGCTGTCCCCCTGCATAAGATGACGTCAAAACACTTTGGGTAGGAATCTGGGAAGAAAGCAAATTCTACAACAAAGGCGCATCTTGGCTCCAATCTGAAGCTGATGCTGCCGATGAACTTGTAGAAACAGCAGAACATGTTCACGAATTCTCGGAAGAGCACATCTTCCAAGCAATTAAGAACATGGAAAACCGGAAATCTCCTGGGAATGATAAGAATCAGAAGTATTGGATTACGAAATCAACATCACTACATTCTAGAAAACCGAGTGTACCTTCCGGAATGAATCACACGCGTCATCAAATTTCTGCTTCCCAAAGGGCGGACACAGTTCCTTGGCGGAGAACTACCGATCTAACACTTGTCTGCCAGTAAATATCACAGGCCCATGTTAACGCACGGGCTCCAGTAGTTCTTAAAGAAGTATTTAATACCAAAGTTTTCAAGAAATTAAATAGAAAATTGAAAAAAAATGGTGTGCGATTGAACTAAATGCAAAACATTGGCATAAGCAAGTGATGTGTCAAACATCACTGGCCAATGTTCATAATATCGAATGTTGCTGGTTGATGCGAGAATGCCACTCAGTGATAAAAAGTTTAGTTTTCTTAACAAAACTTGTCTTTAAGTAGACGCGGAGGGGTAGATCGGTGAAAGTAAGAATAGGGGTCCCCACAGCTCTTAAAACAGCCCTGAAAGCGCCAAGTAATATCTACAGTCATCACTAACATGCAGACACCAGAGAAGAACTATCTGTTGCCAGTTGAACAGAAAGGATGTCAAAAAGGTTCCTACGGCTGTAAGGAAATCTTGTCACTAAATTCATCAGCCTTACGAACCTTTACGGCAACCTTCCCATTGAAACCCCAACCATAGGTGATTGCTAATGAGAGAACCCCCCTCGTTTTTGCTGACCATCCCCTTCATGTGTGTTACGGGGGTATGCTTTCTGAATTTATTCTTTAACACATCTGAAAAAATGTTTCCAAGATTTTATTTTATTACATTTTTGAAGACCCGGAAAACACGTAAACAAAAAAGTGAATTTGTGTTCGAACATAAAAAATCACGATGTAAAATGTACTCCCTTTCCGCTTTCGTTATATGTTGTCATTGAATTTGATAATTTCATTTATGAGCTCAAAATGTCTCGATATTTAATTCACAATTCCAAAAAAGTGTCGGCAAAATACAAACAACACGTTTACTTTCCCTGTCCGTAGGGGCCCCAGGCTATTGTCTAGTACTGCCTATTGGCCAATACACCAATGGATATAAGAAAACGAAAACGTAATTTAAGCATGGCCGAGTTGTCTACCAGAATACCTTGGGCAGTGTATCACATGATTGGATTCTGAAGATCTAAAGATCTATCAATTTAATCCTAGACATGTTGAGTTTTGCAAGGATAGTATGAAGTCGCACAATACCAGGTTAGAAAAGGAAGAGCGGAATGGACGTAGTAGAAACAAGAAGTATTCTGATTAACAGGGAAATGTTTCAAGGAGATTCGCTATCCTCTCTGATGTTTCTCAGAACTTTTATTTTATGCATGCAAATTAGAATAAAAGTAACCTGAATATTCCATACAAAATTGTAATCCACAATCCAAATGTCTGCCTTTCAAACTCTTTTCTAGTTTCTGCAATTGGATGCAACACTGCTACATGAAAACTATGGACACAGAAAATGTGTTAAGGAAATTTTGTAATGTGTAATGTGTAAATTTGGTTCCTGCTGTTTTGTATTATTATTATTATTAATTATTATTATTATTATTATTATTATTATTATTATTATTATTATTATTATTATTATTATTATTATTATTATTATTATTATTATTATTCCCTTGTTTGTTGTGATTTTCTATCATATTTAAAATGAAAACTCTTGGTTTCAAAAGTGTCTTTATTTGTGGTCAGAATTCATGTGAACAATAAAATTGTCACCTCCACATAAAAAGTACTTTGTTCCTCTTAAAACTGAAGGCTGGTTAACAGCCTGTATAAAATATTTTGAGAAAAAATAGGAAAAGTTCACACATCCAGAAAAATGTGGAATATTTAAGTAATGTAAACAACAACCAAAATAATTTTAGCTTGCATTCTCACGAAATAATTAAAAACGTTGTCATTGCCAACAATAGTATTTATTGCAACAGCAGCTTTCGATGGCTTAGCCTTCATCATCAGTTGTCTGGTACAAGAAGAAAAAACAAAACATTAAAACGTGAATATTCCATTGATTTTACAACAAAATTATAATAAAGGTTACAAATAATTTACAACTTTTTGCAAATATATTTAACATTCTAGAAACTGGAAGAAAGAAAAAAGTGTGTGGGGGGGAGGGGAGGGGGGTAAGTCATTAATACTAAACAATATGAATGAAATAGAATTAGGACACGTAAAATTTTTTTAAACAGAAAACATAGAAATGTAAGTTGAGCCATTCCTTACCTGCTGAATGGAAGCCACAAAAACGACTACGCGGAATTGGGCGAGCCAAGGGGCTTAAGTACCCGGCCGCGGGGTGGAGGAGGGCAATAGCCTGGGTGCGGAGCGCTGTCACTGTTTTTGTTCTTTCTTCCAGTTTCTAGAATGTTAAATATGTTTTCCAAAAAATTGTAAATTATTTGTAACCTTTATTATAATTTTGTTGTAAAATCAAAGGAATATTCACATTTTAATGTTTTGTTTTTTGTACCAGACAACTGTATGATGAGCTAAGCCATCAAAAGCTCTCTTGCAATAGAATCTATTGTTGGCAATGACGTTCTATAATTATTTATTCTCACACTTATTCAAATTAAACGTATCATCTCCTAAGAAAAGGTTTTCTTGGATGACAACTATTGTACCTAATTGTATTAATTTGAGATTAATTCTGGTAGATTTTGACGATATAAAATTACACGATCAAACAAACATCCAAATATTAAATACGAATGACTTTCTTACTTGCAGGAATTCAAGTAACATTATCGATTATTACTGCCTGTACAAGAACTCAAGATTTTGCAGAAAAAATTGCATATGCTTTAACAAATTCTTCACACATTAACTGCAATTCAGAAATGAACTAATTTTCTTCAGGAGAAATTTGTAACTTGCACAAGCTATGGTCTTAAACCTTATCAAAATGAGAAATGCTATTCCAAAAATTTAAAGAATTACACACACTGAAAAATATGCAACGTAATATATTTTACAAATTTATTAATCAATATCATCAGTCATGAGTGAGCATATTTACACCCACTAAGGACATTTACACTCCACCGATATAATACTTGAGATAAATTTTTCAACAATGTGACATTTTGAGAAACAATATTTTTGTCAAAAATATGCATTCAGCAAGAACAAAATCAAATAACTAAGCGATCTATGTAAAAACAAGATTAGTGCTAACACAGTCATTGGAAAGAAGCCTCTGCTAATAAAATGCCACACTGAAAGCGCAATGCATACAATCTCATTTCCATAGCTATCCACATTTCTTCATGATCACTTAATGTATCAAACCTTCTTAGATGTTACAAGAAAAATATAATACCATTGGTGCATCATACACACTTTAATACTGACTGCCCGAGGATGAAGTAGACTAATCAGTTTTATTTTGAAGCTTTTAATTATATTTTTCCTTTCATTTCTATTTGACCTGGAGAAATTTTATTAAAGCATGTCAAAATCGCATAGACTTTTCTAATTTTTTTAAAAATAAAGTGTTTCAAACAAATTTCTTTTTCTTGTTTTTTAATTTTTTCATCCCAAAAAAATAAAATAAAAATAAATCTTAGTATTTGACCACATATGTCTAAAACATACTGTATATATTTACTTCTATTCTGAGAAAACTACAATCAGTCATAATATACTGTGAATTGCTCATATCCTATTCAGAACTGTTTGCCAGATGGCTGGTATTGTAGAGAGCATAATTCTGTGAACAATGCCCTTTGACTTCTGCTCTTGTTAAGTAATCTACGTAACAACTAAATATCACTCCAACTCAAACAGACTAGAGCACAATACAGAAAATGTAATTTATTGTATGCTGTCATTCATTGCTCACTGAAGAAGTGTGGTAAACTGTCATCACCCAATGAAACTTATGACCATTAAAAATTTTTGAAATCTTCAAACCAATATGCATACAGTGCAATACATTTACACTCAATTTCTGACATAGCAATGTACAAACAATGACAAAAAAAGTACTACTTCTACTACTACTACATGAAAATGTCATAAGCAATATCTGCAAAAACTAGTTAAAGATTTGAGTAACAACATTGCAATTCTATTCATAATAAAATAGTCTTTGAAGTTCCAGTTCTGCTTTGCAGTGCTACTTCTTACACTCTAAAATCAATTTCACATCTTTCAAAAGAGGACTGCATCATAACCAACAATACAAACATTTGAATACTAGTCCTCTGCACTAACCACAATGAATAAGGAGAAGTCTATATCACAATTATTATAGATGGACAGTAAAATATCTTTCTTGGTGTTTTCAGAAACATAATACAAGCCTAAAACTTCTGATTTAAGAAAAGAGTGATATATAGTAATAACTAACATGGTAAACTATTAACAAAAATATATACAACATATACCCAATAAAAAGAAAACTGAAAATCACATAAAATTTATTATAAATATTGGGCAACTGGTCCCAGAATATCTATGATCACAATCCTCCATAGTATAACTTTTATCAGCAGCCCCAACACTTGCAACTACAAACAGGCGGTACGAGTGAAGCTTCCAGTACTAGTTCATGCCTTCTGATGACTTATGAAGATCTTCCTTTGGCAAGGGCTAATCCTAGACCCACCAGTCCACCAATGGCCAATACAGCTCCACCAGCCATTGCAATTCCAATCAAGCCCTCTGAAGAAAAAAGAAAAAACACATAAATTTCTATTACAAAACCCTTCGGATTAACAGATACAAATTTTTTGTACTTCAAAGAACAGTTACTACACTGAACAAATATTTTGCTAGCCACTTATCACACTTGCTTAATATGGCAATTGTTACATAAATTCTTTATTTGCAACTAGTCAAGCGTACGAAAATGTGAAAAAAACATTAAAAACGACATACTTAATTGTAACCATTTATATACTATCATAATACATTTCAATATTTCTTGATCAGCCTCACTCAATCAGATACTTTTAGATCAATACTGTTATAGTCCAAGTGCCAGAAGCTGTTCTAGGCATTATACTCACATACAACTATTTTTTTAAATATTTTAAAAGGAAGACTAGAGGGAACAAAACTTATCCCATTCTATCCCTCACAGATAAGATAAATACAAAATTACAAAAATATAAAATATAAGAATAAAATGTCTATACATATATTATCTCCACAATCAATTATTTAAATTGCTAGATAACTATCATATATAAGAATTGATGTATAAGAATAGAAACTTGGTCCACTAACCAAAAACACACACACACAACAACTCAGTTAAAACTTTTCCATTACAGAGTGTCAAAAGCAGCCAAACTGATGGGAGTGGTATCTAGTTAGAAGGTAAACTCATAATTAAGGTAAAATATTTCTAGTCACAAAAACCCTGCATTAAAAACAATGCATTTCCATCCCTGATTTAGAGCAACTTGGTATACGAAACGCATTTATATAAAGTGATTGGAATGACAATTATTTGTTTTTCTCTGAAACTAGACTTACAAAATAAAGTTAAAACTCCACTAAAAAAATTAGTGTCTCCGTGAAAAAACACACTTCAACGTAATAATGGAATATGAAAAAATAATCCTTAGGAAAATAACATCATAACAGGGAAAAAAAACAATGAAATCAATGAATCTGCAATTAATTAACACAAACAAACATAACTCAAGGGCAGAACTGGAAATTAACAACTGTATTAAAGGCTGACAACTACCATGAGCAAAAATCCTTCACTGCCTATAAATGTTTTTCCTTGGTTGTCACATCATGTGCAAAACATCAAGAAGATCAAGAATATTTTTTATGCCTATTTTATAAATTGGGAGATTTTGCCTACTACTAGTTTAAAGCAGAAACATTGTAAAAACATAAGTTAAAAAAACACCTTGTAAAAACACAATAAAAAGGTTTTTAATGACCTGTTAACTACGATCAATCAGCAGCCACTTCAACCAATGTCAAAATCACTGTTATTTAATTTGGAGTATGGGCACATTTTACAATCTTACCCAGCTAAATTTTCCTTACTCTTTGGCGGTTTGTGGAAATTTATTGAAGATCATACATGTTTATCACTACAAAAACTGGTTTTAAAATCGAAAGAATACTACCTCACAATAGATTTATCTCAGTGCGATTAGCTACAGAATGTTACTTCAGTAATCATTATGGATAATCCAAAATGGTTTGCATCTCTTCATTGTGTGTATCACATGGATACTTAGTAAAGTGATGTATTCGGTATTATATGTAAGCTATATTCTACTATATAAATGTGGTAATGAAACAATTTATCAACTGTTTATGCTAAATATATTGGTAAAGACATATTTCTTGATTACTTGTTAAATGGGTAATTCCACTCTAGAAATTTTAGACAACAACATGAAAGAATTCAGATCACACACACCAATCAGAGATGAATTTGTGCAAAATAATCATTATCGCCTTCTTACACATAGTAATTATTGATGCTGTTCTGTTTTCAAAAAGACCATAGATAATTTTTCTGATAAATATACAGAGCTTGACAGATGGAACAGAGCAAGATAAGTGTCCACAATTCAGAGCAGGTCAGGCCATGGCCGCAATGCAATATGTATAGAACTCATTCCTTTCCTAGCATAACAAACTATTGTGATAAAACCCTGACCATGCAGAGTACTTCATGTAGTTCACTATGTAGACAACATAAATGCCAATTTCAACCCGTGTAATTTCTAAAAATGCTGAATGAAGAAAATACAATCCCAGTCATCTAATAGATAACCCAAAATGTTTACTTTTCACATTACTCACTCACATCACACACCTGACAAAGTCAAAAAACTCCATACAGTTGAATGAATCCCTTCATTATTGATGAGTTACCCCTACTAGTAATATATTTGTCTAAAGTAACACAAAATATAAAATAATCACTAAATTGTTCGTAAATAGCTCTGTATTTTACAGAACAGTGTGAAAGACAATTCACATGAATAAATATAAATCAATAAAAAATTTCCAATGAAACTAGCAAATTGGCACACAAGGGTAGACATAAAAGTCTATCATATACCAAGACTAATAAGATACATTTAGAAAAACCCACGAATGTATTTTAATTTTCCACAGACCTACATTCAAGTATTGACATTTTTTTAGATGAGAAATTATAAATAACTAGAAACTTTTGGATCCCCGTTTGACCTCACTTATTCAAACTGAAATAAGCTTGATTTTTCGCCATTTGAAGTGAAAGGCAATTCTTTTTTCACACATCTCTGCAGTTTCTACAATACAGATATTACAAGCTTTCCAAACCACAAAAGCATTTTAGTGTTTCATTCCCTAACAGATAAACAAACAAATCGGTAACTTACCTTTCTCCATTCTCTTCTTAATCAATGTTTCTAGGTGTTGAACTTGCTGATTGCCTGGTTCAATTTGCAAAAATGCTCGAACATAATGTAAAGCTTTACTATATTCCTGAAAAAAGAAGGGTAAAGTACAAAAAAGTACAACTTTAGGAACATTTAGGTAACTTTCTTTATTACATAAATTGGTGGTTAGACAGAAAAGAAGAGTTTCTCAACCTGTCACACCAAGTAGACATTTTAATACTTCATTATTACTGTATTGCAAAGTACAAAACAAAAATGTTAACACTAAAGGCAAGGGCAATGAATACATCGAACAAGAGTTGAAGAAGTGAAATTTTATCAAAATACAGAAAACAAACTGAAGTTTTTAAATTAAGTACCACATATACATTTTAAGTTAAGTACCACAAGAAAATGCGGAAGTGAGAATTTTCTGACACTATTTCAGTAGAAACCTTGTGAACTCTTAAGGTAATATTTTTGCTTCACGCAGTTTATCTTGGGTGGCATCACTCAGCTGCCTTGGCTCAGATTTTTTTAAATATGATTACATAATATATTTCTGTGGTCAACAGGTAAAGGTTATTATATAGATAGGTTTAGCGAAGAACTTAAGAACTTTTACCCTCCATCCACAAATTTCACAAGCTTACACAAACAGAATCCTGTATTTCCCAGCATCAAAACGTGACACAATTTAACATCAACAAAAGAAAGTACTAACTACAACAATTACCTTAATTCTAGCATTTCCAATTGCTAAATAATAAAGGTAGTCCCGTTTTCCTTCAGCATTGTCAGATTGAAACAGACCTTCCAAGAGAATTATTCCTTTTCTTATGTCAGCCGAGTATTTACTTCTTACCAAACACCATGCATATTCAAACTGGGCCTTGTGAGTAACTTCCCCTTTGTACAGTTGATCATTATACACTTGCTCAAATTTCTACAAAAAATGTGTACAAATTAAATGTCTACAAAACATCAATAAAAAACATTCACAAGAATATTCCATTGGGTAATGCACATCATCTATGATGAATACCGGAAATACACTGACAGATCAGAATCATAACCTCGTCCCAAAACCAGAGATTAAATATAAAAACAAAATTATTTTAACAGAGGTTTGTCAAGGTACCTTCAAATCGTCCGAAGACACTACTTCGTCCAGAACATCTTCCATTGCTAGTTGACGATTGTGATCACTTATAAAAGAGTCTGATGAAGTGTACGTTTCCTCGGCTCTCGAGAGTTCCGTGCGTCACCGTCACTTATCAATTCATTGTACCCACAATCCTTTGCAAGTACCATATAATAACTCTCTGAGTACCACTGCGATGAACACCACCGAACGTCCTGGAGACTTCTCCGCAACTCTACAACTGCTTTACCGTGAACGTCAGTCTCCAAAACAGGCGGGAATTTTAAACAATCAATTCTCTTTACTTTCCCGCCCTTACTTGTAAGAAGAGAAAGTCTTGTTATCGGGCCCCGGAAAAGGGCGAATTTTCTACAGATAAACTCTAATTACCAGACAAGTTGGATAAATTTTGTTCTGATATATGGTAATAGTTCCTATACATAGTTTCCAGGTTCGCAAATAGGTTTTAACCTTTGTGAAGTACAATATCATTAAGTAACACACACACACACGCACACACATAATATTGAACGTTGTGCAACATTGTATCTTCAATGTAATACACCAGAAAAAAAATATTCAGAAAAATTACTTCTAACACGTGAAGTCAGGTGAATCCATGTTTTGTGGGTCCTTCATACCAAAATATCGATTGACGACAATACGCCTGTATGCCCGACCGTCCGTCTGTCTGAGGCCAACGCTATACTTGTGTTTTTATTTCTTGGAGCGCTATTCTTTGTCTTCACGATGGAATATATCAAGTATTTCGCGTCTTTCTCAGTCAATCGTATCGCAGTCTTGACGATCATGCGACATCTAGCTGCACGACCAAGAAAGACGCGGTTTAAATGAACTCGAGGCTCTGAGTGAAACGGATATATGGATTTTAGAAGTACTTTACATGAAGCGTCAACAAATTTTGAAAATTTGCTAAAAAATTGTTCCAACTTACAAAAAACTTTCTTCTCATATAGCGTAACAAATGCTTAGGAGAATGGCTTAGACCTCACTGTAGTTGATTTCCCTGATTTTTTCAAAAATTGCAAAAGTTCGAATTTTTGGGGGGCACCTTCTGATATCTAAAATATTGAAGATAAATGTTTTAATGAAATCTGCTCTTTAGATACAAGTCCTCAAATACAGTAATGTACATTTTTTTGAAAATGTGATTTTGTGTGATGTTATGTGAAATGTAGCAATTTTTAAACAATTAATTCCTCAATAGCGCTCCAATTTTTTCTTTACATTTTTTCCTCGCATGTATCAAAGGATGATAAAGAAATGGAGCTATAGCGCGTCCAAGACTAAGAATGAAGTACAGGGCCCTATGGGCTTTTCCGGTAAATAAACATTGCCCCGTTTTTAAGATTTCAAAATATTTAAAGTTTTTTTAAGGAAGGGATGCGTTTGTCGGCTGTTGGATCAGCCACAGTTGCGTGCTTCGTTTTGGTTATCATACTGTGCTCAGAAAGTCCACACTCCGGTTGTTTACCACACTCCGGTTGGATATTTGTTCGCCGGTGTTTAGTTGTTTTGTTTGTGAGATTGGTTTGTGAGATTGGTTTCAATCACATCAAAGTTAAATGTAATTTCGTTTACTTTTCTTCATTTTGATTTTTAGTTTGTGATACGGTTATTAATTTACAATTTTTGAAATTTAATTTATTTTTCTTTGCAAACTTGATTTAGAAGTATGATTCACCAACCGTAAAGCGCAAGAATGGTAAAGTCCTTCAGAGTGGAGAAAACAAATAGTAATTAATGTTTATAACTATTTAACTATAATTGTATTTTCGAGCGGAAATCGTACTCAATGCCTACCGCGAGATAACTGTCCGCTCTCTCGGTGCGAGGCAGCTCGGGGTTTCTCGTAAATCAAATCAGTTTGTTCCCATGGGCTCGACTTATTTCATCGTCAAAGAAATTTTAAATATTTTGTTAGGTAATGAAAACTTATTATTTCTGTACTGTTGAAAAGGAAACGAAAGCCTTGGTCTTCATGCAACTCTATGTAGTTGGCTTGAACTTTTGATATTATATTGAAATATGGAGCACTTTAAAATTAATATTTCTTCCTGATATATTAATGACAATTTGAGGCACAAAGGACGTGAGAAGCTTAACAGAAATGTTTCCAGTGTATCAGTCTCATAGGAATAGTTTTAGATTTGAGGAAAGGAAAGAAAATACGCGTTAATAAAATTGGAAAGGTTTGTGGCTAACTTCTTTAGTGCTCCGTTCCATTGTGAAATTCGTTGTCCCCATCGAGCGCGTAATTTTAAGAATCATGCAGTACAGCAGAAAAGCGCCACGTTTGGCATCACTAATGCCAAGAGCCCGTACTTCATTCTTAACCTCAAACGCGCCATTGTCTCATTTCGGGCGAACACTGCATTTTCGAAAATTACAAAAAGTTAACAATGCAAAACTACTGTAGAACGAGATATTTGCCTTAAACAAAATCGGTTCTAAAAATCAACTTTAAAAAAAATATTATGTACAATTTATTTTAGGAAAAACTATTTTTCGCGTAATTTTTTTCGCGTAATTTCGCGCTTGAAATTAATGCAATTTATCAAAAGCATTTTGTCAAAAACCGCTTCAATTGTTTTTAAATTGTTTTTTGCTGTGTTAAATTTTCGCTTGAAATTAATACAATTTATAAAAACCGTTTTGTCAAAAACCGCTTCAATTGTCTTTAAATTGTTTCCTCTGATAAAACAAGTGACGCTTAAAAGAATGGCGCATGCTTCATTTTTGTTGAACTCTGAATTTTCGAAAATGCTGAACCAATGATTGATATTGTATCAAAATTACAATTCTATTTTAAAAAATTCTAAAAAAATGTCACCAAAAATTAAGGCTGGTACGATTTCAATCATGATTTAAATCAAATAATTTTTTTAAATCAATGATTAAAGTTAATACTTATTTGTAATATTTGAAAAAATAAGTTATAGAGGTGAAGACTTAAATCAATTACACAGTTTATACAAAGAATATCAT